GTGGCGTTGTACCATGTGATTGAGCCCATGTAATTTCGTGATATCAGCTGTGGTTTACCGAGGCAATCCTCCTCCATTCTGTAGAATCGACCACGATCGACTTTCCATCAATCTTAACATGATTGCGGTTGTAGTCAGCTGAGCTGTCCGAAATTGTTGCAGTTCTTGGACCAATGTTTCGGCTTCCCCGGATCTGTTAGAGTATGAAGAGCTTCAACGCCTAACGGTATCGATGTGTAAAGATCTTCGATCGATACCGCTACAGTATCTGGAAATGGTTTCCGTGTTTTGTTGCAGAGAATAGATTTCACTTGTTCTTGACTCTTTCAGGCTCCGACGAAGGCGAAGGAGTTGAAGCCTCGGTTTAGTATAATGTAACAATACTGGACGGCTCAAGCTAGCTACTCATCAGATCCTGCTCTAAAGGCTTCGTCCTCTTGGTTACAAGCACAATATCTCGATTGGCTGTATTGCAGGCAGCATTTAGGTTTACTGCAGTGCATTTTGGTAGCAATAATTCAATCAATTTCCAGTCAAATTGCGTGAGCCGTACTCGTTGGCATGACAGAGGCCTCGGGGTATTCAGGAATTAGTTTGTCAGTACGCTCCGGTTGAGGTCCCGCAAAGCGAAGACGAAATGTAAAAGCTTTTAAACGATGTCTGCGCAAGCTGGTTCACTCTCTTTTCTCTGATAATGAGCATAGAGAAGGTTCATGAGGGACCCTGATAATCTTGGATTGGAGCACAACTGTAGTGAGTGCTTTCGGCATACCAGATCCTGTTAACTGTATAAATGTGGTTGCAGGACAACTTTGTCAACTTCCTGTGAGCCTTGTAATCACCTGTCAAACATCCTGCTAATTCCTTTCACATGTGTCGAAATGGACTCATCGTGCTCATACCGCATGGCGAGTTTGGCAGGAGTTCACGAGGTACTCGAAAAAATTCACAGAACTTATAGGGTGAGCCACGATTGTGGAAAGACGAACGGAAGATTATGAACACACGCTAAAAAAGCTCACAGGCGTGCACACCCCCCCCCGTTCCCACCCCAAGCTCAATAGCGTCTCAAGGATCTCTTTTCTCCGAATTCGCCTTATCTCATAGCTCTGCTATCAGACGCTTCTTTCTTAACACGTTCTTGCTTTAACAGCCAATAGCATGATACTGATACCAGTCCATACGATAGTTTAGTTGGGTACAAGTATGTCAGAAATTGATTGGACCCCTTCCTCCTCCCTTGAGCAGAATCGCGTCCCTGTATGATATGCCGGATGAATCACCCTTTCGACTTTTTGCGATGACATCCTGTGCATCACCCTTGCGATAGCTTATCATTTGAAGCAACTCACATCATTATTCCGTCAGATCCTGCACTCTGCTAGAAGTGGGCAGAATTGTTAGATGTTATGTTGTTAGACGTTCCCGTACTTTTATAGTACTTATGCAAGTTCAAGTATTCAGGTACAGTTTATATCACCGCAACTAGTCGGGTCGCAATCACTCGGTATTCGCCTACCGTGTTCCCACCGGTGACTGTTTCCTTCCTAAATTGATCGAAACTCTATCATCATTGGCAGAACAAGGCAGCCGAGGACGCGCTCATGCCGCAACGCTCTCGCCGCTCCGGACTGGTCATAATATTAGGTTGGCTAATAAGTAATGGCCGTTTTTTTCAATTGAAAAATTTGTTCGAAAAGTGAAAAGTTTTGCAAGCAAGTTATAAGTTATATATACATCTGATAGGAAACTTCTCAGAAAGATATAAGAATATCAAAAAAGCTTTGGTTGAGGATATAGTTTTTGTGAATTTTTTAGTCGTTGAAGTTGGAAGTGAAGTCGGCGAAAATTAGCATCTTCGACAACTGCCTCTATTTACGTCTACTCGAAGTGCTAAAATCGCTTAAGCTGCTCCATACATTCGGAAAAGGTTGAGGTAGAAGTCTCAGCAAGGGAATCTCAATAGGGACGCTTTATAGAAACTAATTTCAAGAATTTCAAAGTTGGCAACCTTCACCTTGCCAATATTGGGCAGCTCACGTCTGTTCCACCTGAGATTTCATGCTAATAGTTGAAATAATTGAATTTGAAATTGATATATTCAATACACGTCAGAAGCTTTGCTATTAAAACGTATATCAGCATTGCTTGCAAAATGTTTTACTTTATGAACAACATTTTTCGAATTAGAAAAAAACGGCCATTACTTATTAGCCAGCCCACTGCTAGTGGGCTGGCTAATAACTGCTAGTGGGCTGGCTAATAAGTAATGGCCGTTTTTTTCAATTGAAAAAATTTGTTTCAAAAGTGAAAAGTTTTGCAAGCAAGCTTAATATCGTTTAATAGCAAACTTCTCGTAGTATTAGAATATCAAATTCAAATTCAATTAATTCAACTATTAGCATGAAATTTCTAAATAGAGGCAGTTGTCGAAGATGCTAATTTTCGCCGACTTCACTTCCAACTTCAACGACTAAAAAATTCACAAAAACTATATCCTCAACCAAAGCTTTTTTGATATTCTTATACTACGAGAAGTTCCTATATGAAATGATATATAACTTGCTTGCAAAACGTTTCACTTTTGAACAAATTTTTTCAATTGAAAAAACGGGCCTTACTTATTAGCCAACCTAATATTATGAACTATATGTATAGTATAGTATTTGTGTCGCAGCAAAAAATTATTAGGTTGTTCGAAAAGTCCTGCGACACTTTGACCAAGTTTTTCGGACTAAATTTTCAGTCACTAAAAGACATCTCCAATCTACAAGGTAATCACCACTAAGGACTAGGACTAGTGCCCTTCTTTTGCACAGCTTCTCATTTCCATTCTTATAGAACTACGGCAACTATGATAAGAAGAAGAGGTGGACCTCATTTTTGAGTAGACGTCGATTTTCGGAATTTTTGCCTTCTTAAGGATGAGGTAGGGATCAAAAAAGGTAGTAGTTAGAGACTGCTAACTTTGATGAATAAGCTGGGTATGGTCGCATTCTCAGATCAAGATCCACGATCTTTTGGTGTGGCCTGATCCTAACATGCGGTCTTCGCATTGCCGAGCGGTAGAGAAAATTGAGTATTTGAAGAAATTCCAAGCCGCGTGAACGTCATGCCATGTTGTGAGGTGGTTAGGGTGACGGTAATCCTTACGTTATGCTAGTATTACCCAGAGAGTACGCTTTGAAAATCCCACCAATTAACCTCACTGAAATCTTTCATCCCAGCCAACATACTGCTTGTGGCTGCTGGCAATCTACTTTTCGTGAGAGATCCTGCGAGGAACATGTGCAAGATGTACGCAAGGACCCCACCACTCTCTACCAACCACAAGATCTCACAAATGTTCCTCCAGTGTGTACAAGGAAAAAAACTCAGTCACGGTCATTCGGTATGACTTGTCAGAGGGGTTCAACTCATGAGGCATCCTTCATAAAATTTTTTCCGATAACCGAGACTGCGGAGAAGCATGGCAGTTGTCAGTTAGGTGGAGCCTAGAGAGGTTGCCAACTTACTGGTGGTTACGTTCGGCTGCGCCTCAAGAAGCTTGAGTAAAGGGCCGTAATCTGCTGCCTTGGTGGCCGACCTATACATTGCCTACTTCCGAGTTGAATAAGTCCAGCCTGGAAGCGCTGATGCAAAAGGAACTCTCTGCTATGGCAAGCGATATCCTTCCTCAAGACAGCGTAAGTGTTAGCTTCCTCGACTATGGCGGAGTTGCCCTACAGGAACTCATAATATGGGATAGGTCGAGAGATACCTCAATTCTCTGCAGAGTATTTTAAAGCATTGAAAATCTGTCCGATCCGGAAGCCATGACTTATACCCATTATCCAGAAAACCGCCAGGAGACAATCTCCACTAATCAGAGATAAAAACATTCAAAATGATTTTTGGTCTTTTTCTAGAATAGTTTAAACAAAGTGTCGCAGGACTTTTCGAACTACCTAATAGTAAATTATTGAACTTATGAGCGCAATCTGAGTTCAGTGACGCTTCCTTTTCTCCGTGACTGCGCCTCCAGACTCTGCCTTCAACGCCCTCCTTTCAGTAAAAAAACGAAGCTGCAGGATGAAAAAGCATGAAAATAGCCACTTGTACGGTCGTAGAGTTCTTATCGGGGAATTAGCTGTGCGGATGGGGCCATTGGAGATCGAGTCAGTTAAGCATCTACCCTAAAATCCCATAGATAAGAGCGGTTTGTGCTAGAAAATGAAAATTGACGTTTGTATACGTTTTTTTGGCGTTGTGTGCTCATGATTATCGCAATAATAGCCTACAACTCTACCTTTATTCTTACTGTTTTCTATACTCTTTCTATCCTGTATCACCTGCTATGAAACGTCGTAAATCGTATACAGCAGCTTTCAAGCTAGACGCCGTCAATTATCGTGATTTGCATGGAACCTTGGCAGCGGCTCGTCATTTTGAAGTCACTGAAGCAATGATAAGAAAGTGGGTTGTTGATCGACAAAATCTTCAAGAGATGCCAGCAACGAAGAGAGCCACACCGGTAAATTTTCACCGGTAAATTAGCCGCTCTTATCTATGGGATTTTAGGGTAATTTCTATCTAAAACAGTTGGCACCTTTTTTTTGGGCTTTTTTCTTCATTATCGAGTTGCTGAGAACCTTGTCTTCTACCTCGTCTTGTCTTCTAGCCCAGTATGTGTGATGGTGAATAGTCGTGTTCTTTTTTGAGTTCTCTGTTTCTTTCTTTATTTTTCTGCCTCTATTCGATTTGAACTCTTACCGCTCTCAAAGCCAACTCCTTGCTGCGTTGCAATAAAGACTGTGACTGCATCACAACACTCTTTTACAATCTGTCGATTCCGACATTAGAAGAAGGACACGTCTTGCGCATGTGATAATTTCTTGTAAAAATAGCTGCACAAAAATGCAACACAAGATGCAATGACTCCAGACAATCTCCTGAGTTATACTCGTTGAATTTTGATCATATAACTGTCAGAATTCATGACAGTCGTGAAGAACCGTAGATTATGGCATGCCAAAGCTGCAGTCTAGTTTGAAATCCAAATAGGGCTTCAGTCGATACTTGTGGTACTTCACCTGAAAGAGAGGCAAGGTGAGAAACTTCTCAAAAGCAGCAACGGCATGACCTTCCCCTGTAGACAAAGGATACGAGCACTATTTACCGCCCAAACCAGCCCCAACCATCCAGAATTGAGCCAGTTTTTGACCGACTTTTTTCTCCGTGGACAGATTTGGCTCAAATGTTGTCTCCTGGGGGTTTGACCTCCTGAATACGAATATCACATTCGCTTAGCCCGAAACCTCCTGGCGCCCGCGCCATAGGCGCCGGTGATTTGGGGTATCTTGGCGCCAGCGTCTGTAGCGCGGACGCCATTAGGTTTCGGGCCAAGCCGATGTGATATTCGTGTTCAGGAGGTCAGACTACCACAGGGAACAAGTTTTCAGCGAATTTGGTGATTTAGGGTATTTTGGCGCCGGCGCCTGTGGCGCGGCGCCAGGAGGTTTCGTGCCTAGCGGATGTGATATTCATGTTCAGGAGGTCAAACTACCCAGGGAACAAATTTTCAGCCAATTCTGCCAACGCAGAAAAAAGTCGGTCAAAAACTGGCCTGTTTTCGGAAGATTGGGGCAGTAAAGGGTAAATAGTGCCAGGATACGGCCAAACGTTGCCGCATACTGTTGTACTTGATTTGTCCTGTTGTTGTGGAACCCTACGCGCTCACCCTGTGCTGCCCTCTGGCCTCCTCTCATTGTTGGACCAGTCATTCAATATACTTTCCATGGCGGGGTACGTAATTGGGATAGCTTGTAATCGAACTGATGGTCCAGTGTAGACCAAAACCTCGCTACATTCATTTCAAATATGTAGCATTGGCAGCTATTCTTTTCTTTTTTCTTTCCTCCACACTTGGCTTTCGTGGCATCCTTGTATGCCTATTAGAACTCAACTACTCAGAATATCCAATCGCGGGCTTTGCTCTGAATAGAGTGGGTCATTCGATTGAAATTTTTGTGCAGGGTCTTCACCACTTTTGAGGTTATTGGAATACCGACCGCAAACCACCACACAGCCTCTCCTGTGGACAGCATTATGCTCTGATCATTTGCTCTGCATCAACTTATCAATCAGTGATTTATTCTGATAGCAATCTTATCCCATCTCCTCTTTTTCCCATTCACCACACCTATAATGCTCACTAATAATCCTTTCTGTTTGTCTGACGTGCTTCAAATTGAAAAAAGAGCTCACATATGGTTGCTTTTCGTACTCCTTCAAATCCCATATGTGATTGATTTGTCCAAGATGGGTACGATTGAATATGAGCTCGTGCATACAATCCACAACGCCAAAGTCGATCGAAGGCATCATCTGAAGAGCACTTAATATCTTCTCTAAGAAGTCACTGTACTTCTTACTTTGTTAGCCATTAACTTCGGATGCTTAGCGAGCCAGACGAAATCCTCTACGCCAAAAACACATACGAAGTGACGATAACGCTGTGAACGGCATTTCAATTTGTCACTGCCGGCCCAGGTTTCTGTCCTGAAATGAAATTTCTCTAACTCACTTCATACACCTTGCACTTATGTCGTAGACGAGCGCTGCTAAAACTCAGTACAAAGCAGGAGGGTGTGAGAAGTTCCAGAGAATTTGATTAGAGTCGAGTGCATAATTCAGGGCGATGCTCGATTCACACTTGACACGTTGACGACAACGCGGGTTTTTACTTTTCGGCCTCGTGGGACACGCGCGCTTTCTTGAACGCCACAAGCGCGGTACGCATACAATTCAAGCCGTCCCACGAAGCGCTTTTTTGGAGATTGGATCGAAAAACCTGGTTTAGAGGTGAAGTAAGTCAATTATTTACTATGGAAAAATCTGGGCTGGCCAACTCTCTTTGCACCTGACGAGCAAACCAAATTCAAGAGCTTATAGTGCTCTTTGCACAGGATATCTTTGCTAAACTTGTGTACTGATCTATTCCATGAACCACGTGCTGTACGAGTATACTAAGGACTGACCTATAGAACAGTACAGTTCGCAGTAACACAATTTCGGCGAGTTATTCTATTAACATGCATGCACTGCTAGATGCTTGAGATGGCGGCTTGGAACTTTGAAAAAAGATCATTCACGATGTTGGTGATCAATCAAGATACCTTAGGTAACTTAGAACTTATTAACGTAAGAAGTTCGCTAAAATTACAACAGCCAGGAGACAGTCTATTCAGTTGTTATGCCATTCGAAAGCAATTAATTCTCCTTATTGGGATTCACAGTGTGGTAATTTCTAATTAGTACTGCACATAAAACGACTACATACCCCAGTAGTGCTGCGAGGCAAGTCTGCTGTTTCTGACACTTGATAAGGAGACCCTTCTCGCTTGAGAAGAAATTTGTTTTTTATGAGTGAGAGTCTTCCTTTTGATTCTCCTCCTTCCATCGAGATGATGTGTCTGGTGTTCATAAATCCTCAGAGAAGCAGATCGTGAGTACTTCATAGATAGAGCCCTTCTTCGTACAGTGTCTGCAATCACACGATCTTTTCGCAATTTGATTGTGAAAGGGCGACGAGATGGCGTCGATCCGCTGTAGCGACCCCACCAGCTTGGTCGTAAGCCCACTATTTAAAAAAATGGAAGCCTTCGAGAAAGCTTCAAAGGCAGCGCCGCGTTCATTTGATGTTCCTACGCCCTCCTTCAGATATCGTAGCTTTGTCGACAAGGGTGGAGGATGTACTAATTTCGCAGCTCAAAAATACGAGAGGATGGCGCCACCCGCTTGTGAAGAGGATGCCGCCCCGCCCACCTGGCTGCCATAACTGCTTTGGCTTAGCCTTTAAAGGCTGAGCCCGCTTTCAAGAATAATGAGTTATGGAGCTCATATAATACGTGATCCAGTAGTGAAAAAAAAGCAGAAAAAAAATCATGGAAAATGCCCTATATAGAACCCTATGCTGGCCAGGTGGGGGGCGGGGCGGCCGACTCTTCACTAGCGAACGGCGCTATCCTCTCGCCTTTTTGAGATGCAAAACTAGTACATACTGCATCCTCATAGGGAGGGCTATGATATCCAGAGAGGGCGCCGGCGAATCAAATGAACGTGGGCGCTGCTTTTAATGTTTGGCGGGGAAGTTCTGTCACTTTTCAAATTACGCTTTCTTTTTATAGAGAGCCGTGTATGATTGAAAATATACAGCAGTTTTAATGCTGACTATTGCGGGGTTCTTGCCAGTCCCCTCATGGATGCCATCGCATCACAATGCAGGCCGGCGCGACGCAAAGTTGGACATCATCTCAATTTTGACTTGGGCTCGGGTGTGGAGGTTTTCTTGTCTGTATAACGGCTGAGTACGGGAGGCAATTCGCATTTGGAAGGCAATTTCTGGGCAACACCCGTGCAGGGGGAGAGCAAGCCAGCTCTATTGCATGAAGTACGGCTCGAACTTTTTTGGACGGACGGCTGCTGAGCTGTTCAAAATCTTCCGGCACAGCGACCAGCACTTCTAAGCACTGGTTCTAGTTTTAACCTGGATCCTTATAACCGAAGTTATGGTCCATGCAAAGATGAAAAGTTGCATCAAGACTAATGAAGAAAGATTCTCTTTGTTAGTCTTGATGCGACGCTGTGGGTCCTCCTTCGGACTAGCTAAGTACTTGCCATGTGGAACATTTCAGATAGGCTGCACTGTCACGTTGAAGACGGACTGTGCGGAGAATTTTTTCCCTCGATGGTTTGCTTCAGATCTCGTAGCTGCTTCGCGCACGGGTTGACCGAGGAAGCAGCTTCTTCATCCACCACGATGGTTTGCTTCAGATCTCGTAGCTGCTTTCGCGCACGGGTTGACCGAGGAAGCAGCTTCTTCATCCAGCACTTTCATGACCCGCAGCTCCCTCAATCTGAGTTCACAGGTAACCCAAACCTCACTTCGTCATCAAAACTGTAGGCTCCCGCTTTGAAGCATTAGCTTCGGGTTGTCTGATAATCGAGGGCATCGTACTTGATCAGCTTTATTATTCTGGCATCTACAGCTATCATGCTGCGTCAGGGTGGTTTAAGAAAGAGTTCGAGGAAGTGCTTGGAGGTGTCGTTGCCGATGGTAGCGGATAATATTCTTGTCCATATTGGAAGAAGAAGAAGAAGAAGCAGGAGTCAAGCGAGTAGCATTACTAGAAAGATCACTCCTTGTGGTATACAATCCTCGTCATTGCGGACCGGTGGGGCGTGGCTGTGCAGATGCATTTGCTGCGCGTTTGGCAAAGTCGTTCTGCACCAGTTTTTGAAGCGAACAAGTGCATTACTGTATTATATCCTTCGTATTACTCGTTTTCTACCACTTTTTGTCGCATACGCGTTGCAACAAAAAAGGCTGAGAACGGCTTCAACAGTGTGCGCACTCCTTCTGGCTGACACGCCCCACCGGTCCGCAATGATGAGGACTGTAAGTGCTCACATCATCAGCTACCCCGCTTCAGGTAATGTGTAAGTATTTTGAGTTCGAAAAAGTATGACATAACTTTCCCACCAGCCTAATAATACTCTTCCTCTCGCTTAGCTCTGCGGTTAGTTGCCCTGTCTCAGTGTCTGTTCCTTCACAGTTTTTGGCTTGGCTGCTTGGTTTTTATAATGCTTACAGTCAAAGGCAAAAAAAGAGAGCCTTACTGAAGACAATGGAGACCGTAAAATCTTTTTTTTCAGTCGTTAATGGGTCAGGTAGCATGAATTCATAGTTTACAGCGTCGCACACAAGCTGTGGTAGCAAAACGTGTCATGGAGAAGACAGCATACAGAAATTCTTGTTTTAGTCAGTTATTGTGGAGAAATAGTAGTTTTCTCGACCCAGTTATTTACTTTTCTAGTATGAGATTTCTTCCTGCCATTGACCATCTTCTGCATTGATAATTGACAGCAGATTCTCACATTCCACCATAGAGAGAAAAATCACTCATGTTAAACCACAAGAATGACTGGATACAAGGGACGTTTGTTCATGCTGGGAACACATCACGAAATCTGAGACTTTATTACTTAACGCTGGTCACCCACCCATTACGCCGTCACGTAAGCTTCTAAGACGCCACGATTTAGAAAAATTACCAATAAAGACAAAAGGCACGCTCACCTGGGACGTGTATCATATGCCATATGCCGCAGTAGCAGACCCCCAGCCGTTGAAGCGTAGTGCCCCCTCCCCCCCCCCCCCCCAAACATGCGCGGTATGGAGCTCCAGGAGATGGGATATGCTAATTTCTCCATAATCTGCCTTAGAAGCAACTCACGTCGCAGACACGCTGCAAACCGCCACCACATCCCGGCCACATCTGCTACGAACGCCTTCCGCACAACGCGTATCGCGCGCGGCGATTCTGGCCCTGGCCAAGTCTCGTGGCTTGCACTTTATGCGATGAAAACGCAAACTCCTATGCGGATAACAACTGAGGGGTTGCTCTTGCTGAAAACTTGAAACATATGATGACGAGGGATAGTACTGAAAAGCAACTCACAGAAGTCTTACTAAAAACCGTTCTTCCAGAGAGCTTCATTTTGCTTCCATCCTTTTGTCTTACGCATAGGAATCATTTATGATACGTATCGGTTTTTTTCATACATTGAAATGTTGATCAAACCTCCAGCATGTCCTCAACAGATATACTGACCTTGTTATAAAACCAATCACGCTTCCATTTTTCACGCAATGCGCAGTGAATCTTCCAGGCATATTGAGACCATCACTCACTTGCAGCGTTGGAATGAGAACCTCATCAACGCCAAGTACCTAAACGGTTGACTCTATGTCTCTCTCTCTCAAAGGACTTAGCGTGTGATCACAAATAAACACTGAATATGAGCGCAGTTGAGCATGGAGAATGATCGGTTTCTGGTGAATTTGATTACTGAGACAGCGAGACAGTACGACTGTAGACATACGTTACGATCAAGCTGTTCAAATGTTTTGGTGAGATCTATGGTGTTCACCATCCAGTCGACAGCAGCACGTGACAGCGATGCATGCACCGCACCTCGCGCAAAGGTGAGTGATGCGTTCAGTTGAGATGGTGTCATTTGACTTTCTGAAAGAATTTACCCTTTTAGAAGTAAGTCCAGTAAGTTTGGAAGAAAGCAAACTGGCAATTTTTCTATTGTTGCACTGCAAGGCTGCAGTGATAGTCTGCACCGCAAAATGAGGGTGCTGGTTATCCAAATGCCAGCTCCCATATCAACAAAAATTTGGTCTTGACTCCACTATTGGTAGCAGTTCTCTCAATGCTCTGCTTCGGATAGTGGTGAGAATATGCTGCTGAATGCTCGAAATGGTGAAAATTTGTCACTGTCGGACTTTGGAATAGGGTAAACAGTTCCAAGAGGATAGACGACTTGAACATACATAGAAGATTTGAGACGAATTGTTATATAGAAGATTTGAGACTAATTGTCACATAGAAGATTTGAGACGAATTGTCTAGACATCCGAAATTTCGTCGAAAATCCTGTAGAATGAAAAACATCAACGAAGACGCCGTGAATTTGCCTGTATTAATGCAGGGTTCCAATCACGATCATGACATTTTTTTTCGGGCGCTAGTAGGCATCGGCAGACGCCAACTCGCCGCCACCTTTTTCATATCATCGATATAAACACCCACATCAGAGTAATTTGAAGTCCTCCTTTTTAATGTGGTATCCATCGTTGGACGACGCCATCTGGTGTCAGAATGTATTCGGTGCCACTTGGCGCCACGCCTTTCCCTTCTAAACTTGTCACGAACATGACATCACTTCATGATGGCAGCGCATTTCAGGGCTCTGCTAAGGCAGAGCAAGGGAGCAGAGCTTAATGTCGTCTCCCGAGCGTAGCCTTGCAGAGCACAGACAAATAGCGCCATATTGATCCAGAGCCTGTAATCAATTCACGTACGTGGGACTCCAATCGGGATGCGAGCGCATATTGGCATGGCTGGAAACGAACGTTTGCGAAATTGCTGCCAACTGACGCCAAATGGCGCCAGCTTCAGAAAAGAGTGCTAAATTCGTGAAACTCACATCGTAAAACGAACATAGAATACAAGTTTTCACCGGAGTTTGGAGAAGTTGGTAACATCAAACTGGCGCCCATCAGCACATGACGCGCCGGAGCGGAAAGCGGACTTCATATTCGCAATCGGGGTGTTGAGCTACTCTTGTAGATAATGTTTCAGATGGAAAAGCAACTTTCAAAATTCTGCGATAATCATTAATTAGATAGTATCTTTTCTTTTGTAGGTGATGATATCATCAACTCAGCATCTGTATAGCCTGAAAAAGGTAACTTGAATATTTATATTGAGGAACGTCGCTCGGACAAATTGAGAAAAACGTAATGTTTTCTATAGTTCTATAAAAAACTTGTGTTCCGGCGGTGGAGGATATGGTCCCAAGTGAACATCTCGGTGCACACACCAGTGTCGAGCACAGGGTCAAGGCTCTACGGAGGAACTCTCAACGATGAAGTCATATGAGGCTCGAAAAAAGGGGCGGGGTAATTAGAGCAGTCAGTAGTCAACAAAGCCGTGACATCTGATTGCAGGATAAGTGTTCAAAGCCGAGGTATTATAGTGACACTGTGGATGACCCAATCGATTAGGAGCTTTTCGTGTGCGATAGACTTTTCAGTGAAACTGTGATTATAGGCTGTAGCTAAGACATTTCTCCCTACATTTCGTCCCTGTTCTACAGGAATTTGTTGGGAAGGAGTTACATATGTCCTTTCGAACAGCGACAACGTGCAGCAAGCAGTTTCCTCATGCTGAAGAAGAATTCTCGAAGATGGATTTCTCAAACAGTAGATTTTCATAATTCGTACGTGGCTTCGTACTGATCAAAATCTTCCAGCACATCGACCAGCACTTCTAAGCACTGGTTCTAGTTTTAACCTGGATCCTTATAACCGAAGTTATGGTCCATGCAAAGATGAAAAGTTGCATCAAGACTAATGAAGAAAGATTCTCTTTCGTTAGTCTTGATGCGAAGCTGATGGTCCTCCTACGGACTAGCCAAGTATTATACTTGCCATGTGGAACGTCGACACGCTACACATATTAAACTAGTCCTATTACATAATGCTCATTTGAAATCTGGATTGTTACTCCATTTTCTTTTCACTTGATACAAGCATAGGGATGGGTTTGGATACACACCCAAATGGGACCTACCGACAGGTCAATTTTCCTGAACGGGACTCCTCTGCAAACATTGTCACGCTGCTCACACTAATCTATAGCTACTCGTGGGTAAGCTGCGTTGTTCATCATTTCAGTTGTGCACTAGATAAGGTTCTTTTAATATTATCATTCATTGAGACTTGTTTGTTATGTTTAAAGCGTGAAGGTAGAGCAGGCGTCATAACACTGACACGCACAAAAAACACTGACGTCTTCTGAATGCACTGAAGATCTTTCAACTGACAAAGCGCGTCACAATGTATTAACACTTGAAATTTCCTGTTGCCTTCAACAAACGTGTCGTACCGTTTCGATAGAATTTGAGTGAACGAACATCCCATCTCAGCGAGCTCATTGTAAGCGATATCCTTCACATGGTCTCATGTGCACATCGTTCGCTCCTGCGAGCATGTCCAATATAGAAACAGTTTCATACACAGTCTTGATCATGACGTCATAGTTCTGAAACTGAATGCAGGATGTCTCATCTAATATGCACGGAATTCTGCGACGAACTTATTCATTTCCAAGAATCCACACAACCTGCATTAGTATAGCATATCCCCAGCTTTTGTACGCCATCACCGCTTTCATGCATTCGTAGTGTGCGCGAGTTCCATTTATTCCATTCCTTCCCAACCGCAAAACGCTCTGAAGAAGAAGTATTCGTAAAAAGGCCGTATAACATTGTTTGAAGGCTACATAACAGTGATCCTGAAGAGAGTGGGAAGCCCAGCTAGAGCTCTTTCCGGATTCCTTGGGAAGTGAGCACTCCAAAAAAGCACCGCTTGGAGGATTGGATTAGACCAGTGCAATCGTGCAGGTAATGCTGCCTAATGAAATACGGTTCTGCTATCTTACTTGAACTGCTGTTTTGCAAAGGGGCACCTCCATTCTAGTCTCACCGCTTCTCGAGCAATCTCTTTATCCTAGCTGACCCCTTTACCTTGCATATACCCCTCTTTACTTTTACCCCTATTCTTCCAGCGACTCCAATACCAACCATCCACCAGCAAGAGCATGGATTTCAGAATCATAGATCGAGTCACCTTCTGGCCATCAGTTGATATGCAGCATAACTCGAATGTGTATATGAAAATCTTCCTTTCCTCTCTATGGTGATAGCGCCAGAGATTGCAGCGTTTTGCTGGAACCATTTATAGAATTTCCATAACCAGCCAACCTTTAGGAACAAGCACATTGGGAAGGCATTTCGCGAGTGCTTCTATCCTCTGTGTGAATTCTTGCTTTGCTTTATAATCGATAGAATAACAAAAGATATTCTGCGGATGATAGCTTGATCTAAGTTCATCCTCGAGGAATTCGTAACTCTGGAAGGAGCGCATAAGGTAGTATTTAGGTATTTCGCTCGTGAAGGTTTCAAAGTGTACCTCATATACTATGCGTATATGCGCTACTCCAAATAGCAGTTGATCAAGTGGCTTCGGAGGAAGCACTCGAGCTCGAATATGTTCGCAGCTCATCGACAGTCCTTGATCGGGCAGCTTAGTACGTGATGCTGCCATTATCTTCGAATAGTTCCCCTGCAAAATGGAACTCATAGAAACGACCAGCATAACCTTCGATGAAATAACCTACCTTATCGTCATACAGAAGCCTCTCACAATTAATGTGCATTGTTTCCGCTTTTCTCTGGAAGCGTACCATCTTCTGTTGCCCATAGTGTATCCTCTGGAAGAATGTTCTTCATCCACGAATCTGCGGCATGCCATTATGCTTGAACTCTGTCACTATATGAAGCAGCACCTATCCACGCAATATGGCTGAAGAAATTCGATATTTATAGCCGTATAACGATATTTATAACCAACACATAAACCTGTAGCGGTTCAGGCATAGGCCGCCGTGGATGTGTGTGTGTGTGCGTGGTCGATCGTATATTCATATCTTCATTTAATTTACTGTTAGGTTAGAGAGATTAATAAATGATAGGGGGAGTGCGATGCGACAGGAACATTATTGGTGGCTGACAAAAAAATCACAATAACTGATAAGACTTCATGAATGACGTCCGAAGGGAAGCTTCACCGAAGTGGTAGCGCATGCCGAAGCACAGTAGAAATGTGGTTCCACAATACTGTGTTTTAGCTGTATGCCGTATGTAGGACCGGCCTGAATGCGCTATAAATGGAAGTTCTTTTAGACTTCCGCGAACGCCTAGCCACAGGGTCCCACAAGCCTTCACAATGCTGTCGGTCGGTGCTTCACTGAGTACTACTCGATACTCCTCACCGAACCGAACCGCGTCGGCGAATAAAACGAAGAAGGCATACCTGCAGTGAGCGGAGCTAAACAAAAACTACAAATTTAGGTTCGAAAAAGCCCGAAAACCGGGGACGGAAAAGTTGCCAAGGATCAGAAAAGAGCGGGCGGATTCAGTGGTGTAGAAGAAACTGCGGTGGATGTGGCTAGCAGTAAAAATCAGTATTTCAGTTTTAAAACGGCTCCGAGAGTCTGATGCGTAAGCTCTATGAATTGTAGGTTATCGATATCAACCGAAATTACCGGTTTTCATGCAAATGGACAAAATGAGGCTTTTCACAGACGTACAAGGAATCCATGGAAAATGTAGGCTCTAGCGCAGAGGACTACTTAAAGACACATGGTACGCTCAACACATTGAGGGTGTATGAGACTATCAGCCCCCCAGCTGTCGATGTGTCGTGGTCCCCCCGCCCAAAACTGCACGGGGTCAGAGTACGGGGCCGTGGGAAAGTCGTAATTCCTTGCTACACCGCCCTCACGTTTATGCTAACACCATCCGCGCGGCGCGGTCGCGTGCAGCTCTCTTGGCTTTTTGCCAAGTCCTGTAATTGCGCTTTGGAATACAAGTACAACGCAATTTCTTTATGCGGATAACATTTTAGGTGCTGCAAAATAAGAACCGAAGATGATGACAAGGGCTAGAACTCAAGAGCAACTGTGGTGCTTCTGCAATATCCCTCAGAGGCCGCGCATTCCCACAGAACATGACAATAAAAACGGACAACATGACAATAAAACATGACAATACAAGCAAAACGCAATTTCCTAACATTTGAGGTATTGCTCATGCTTCAAAGTCCGAATAGAAGGTGATGAAGATGACAAAGGCTAGAAATGAACAACAACGAATGTAGATGTAAATAAAACAAAATTGAAAAAACTAAGGAAACGCAATAAATTAAAATCGCGTGTGCATTTCTGCGATCCGGCTCGAATCCGGCTCTAATGCTATAGAAATACTTCAAACTAACGAGTGGGACGCTTAGGCCGTTTTTATTTTGATGTTTTGTGGGAATGCGCGGCCTGCGAGGGCTGTTGCAGAAGCAGCACAGTTGCTCTTGAGTTCTAGCCCTCGTCATCATCTTCAGTTCTTATTTTGCAGAACCTAAAATGTTATCCGCATAAAGAAATTGCGTTGTACTTGTATTCCAAAGCGCAATTACAGGACTTGGCAAAAAGCCAAGAGAGCTGCACGCGACCGCGCCGCGCGGATGGTGTTAGCATAAACGTGAGGGCGGTGTAGCAAGGAATTACGACTTTCCCACGGCCCCGTACTCTGACCCCGTGCAGTTTTGGGCGGGGGGACCACGACACATCGACAGCTGGGGGCTGATAGTCTCATACACCCTCAATGTGTTTGAGCGTACCATGTGTCTTTAAGCAGTGAAACAGACAACGTGAAAATTGATTTTGGTCGCGAACTCTGTACAATCATCTCTGTAAATGAAAGGACGTGTGACTGAGCTTGACACCGTAATTCGTCTCCTCGAATGCGGCACAGTCCACGCAGCGTCATTTTTTTTCTATAGTTTGCAGGGATTACGACTGCATGTAGGGCTGTAGCAACAGATTCAATGTACAGGTACTATATTCGAGAATATAACCGGATAATTCAAGGTCATTTGTACCGGATAATTCAAGGTCATTTGTATAGTGGGACTCTTTTTTTCTTTTTTAGAATTGCGGTAATCTTTACTTCCCTAATCCGCCTTCATAGGCACGATTGCTTGGTCCGAGCAGAGTTTATCACGGCATATTCGTGGTCAAAATATGGGAAAAAAATAATAGATTCGTAGTCGCATAAGTAAGGCATCAAAATAAGAGTCTTTGCGGAATGGGGTGCCTCTGATCGCACATTTTGTCAAACTGTTCACTTGCACGATCAAGATGAATTCAATTGTTCAAAAACCATCACGCTAACATGCACATCACAAACTCGGAGCAGAAAAAGTGGACAACATCAACGAAAAACGAGCCCTCATTAGTCAGGTCCGGTCGTTTTGTTCTTTTATTTTCTCCCAAATGGCTGTATTATTACGCACTTGTTCACCCACTGGCCCGTCCAAATTTCTTGTTGCACTCGAACTCCTTATAATTGATGGAACGCTTCCACCTACAGTGAACAATTAAGACCAACCGAGCAACAAGCAAATGCAAGTCTAGAGCATCATATCTTGAAGGCAGTTGGCACGATAAGTCCTTAAAGACGAGTGATCAGTACGGCAGGGCGGAATTCCGCGTCCCTGAGAGGCGCTGCGCAGCGCCCTTCCCAAGGAAGGTACCCTTATAAGGGCCCTATCAAGCTACAACATACCGACCCGAACGCCCACCGCCCGCCCGCCCACAAATGGACGACCGTTCCTGACGCTCGTATTGATTCATTTGCTAAGCAAATAGGGGATTGGTATGAAGCGGCCGCGGTGCTGCATGAATATATTACACACATGCAGCCGTATCTTCGGTAGCGGTTATTGGCAAGATGCCTACGGGAAACTCGTCCGAAATTGATTTTTAAGTCACTAAGAACGAAGGCTTTTTCTTCGCAGGATTTTGACCGTTTCACTCCGTTCTTTCGCCATTTTCTCACTGCTAGCATTTCAAGTTGAGTGCCGAATTATCGTGCCAATTGCCTTCAAAAACTCGAATCGTTTTCAGGCAGTCCTATAGAGAGACAGTTGTATACTGGAAAATTAGAGAACTGCCTTTTAGAGAGATGGACACTCCGTTCGAGTTTGTGCCAGCTTCAAAAATACAAAATTTGGGGTGTGTCGTGTAGTTCTACAACGGAGTGTATACGACAGCTAAGTTTGGCAATTTGCAGACTTTTTCCCGGACAATCCGACAAATTCTTTCTGGGAAGTGTCAGGAGAAGATTCGTCCCCCTGCTCTCGAGCGGGGATCGCCATTGGAGCCTGGCGATTACGGAGAAAGGGGTCGTCCACTGTAGCCGACTTCTAGATAGCAAATGTAGAATAAAATGGCAGGTTAGATCTAACTCACGAAGGCGAGCTAGATTATCGTCGCTGTGCTTCTCTCTGAGCACTCTCGAGTTGCGGAAATGGGATGTGCTCGTACAGCGCGTATATAGTGGAGGAAGTGAAGTATCTGTGCGCGTCGCAGGGCACATCGTTGTTGGGGAATCCCAATAGGGGGGGGTCGTATTTGGGCTGGGAAAAATTTATTTTGATAGTTGATTTTTCTCGCTTCACGGACGTTGTAAAGGGAGGGGGTCGTACTTGGTCATTGTTGGGAGGGGGAGGGGGGTCGTATTTAGGTTATGGCGTTGCAGTGGTTGACTTTTCGTTATTTCCCTGTTTCATGCGTACTATATACCTCTGCTCCCTGATCGACGGCTCCATTCGATAAGGAGGAACAGAGGGCCGGAGGGGGAGGGAGGTCGTACCACCCCCCCCCCCCCTCAAAAGAAAAGGGATGAACCAACCGAAGATGTGCCCTGGCGCGTCGTGTAGTCACGGGCGCTGTCCTCAAGCAACACGGAGGTGCACACTTTCGCCACGAAGATGGTAATTTCAAAAATATAAAATAGAGCCGTTCTTTAACTCTTCTACTGAGCTATTATAAGTTCGTAAAAAGATGGAACTTACTTACAACTGCTACTGGAAGATATTTCGATGGAAGCCAGAATATGGCAGCTACAATCGTTATGAACAAAGTAACAGCAGCAATAATTGATTTACGGGGCCATAACAATTTAGAACATCTCGAGTTCATTTCTTTTGCACGAGTCGGTGGAAGTGATAGCAGTAGTAGTCTCACCTGAGATGAAACCCTATAAAAGAGTGCCAGTGTTTAGGTAGCTGTACAAAGTTCTAGACAAAACGTGCTGTTCACAACCTATGAAGCATTCGCTTTTGTGGAAGCGTTCAAACCTCGACATAACAATTCAGCCCACAAGGCAAAAAAAATAACGCCACGTTCAGTTCTCTGCAGAAAAAACGACCACAGACTGTTTGCAAAAGCTTGCTAAAAGCTCTCCAAACTTCCAAAAATTGTAGGTATTGTGTAGTGGTCTGCAAACCTAGAATAATCAAGTAGTCATACTCATCAGATTTATATTGTTAACCGCAACTGTTTGGAACTGCGGTAGTTTAACAGTCAGATTAGTCCTGATGCTAACAATATTAGATCAGAATAAAATCGATTTCGTACCAGTGTTATGGTATGTTCATCCTACCATTACTTCAAAAACAAAAAATTTTCTCAGCTGAAACTCTTCCCATAGAAGTTATTCGGTGTCTTGATTACCTATATCACATCCATCTTTACCGTTATTAGCGCCATTTGGCGCCAACAGGAGCTAATTTGGCGCTACAATCTTACCCACCAAAATCGATGAAAACTTCTCGATTCTGGTGGGTAAG